AATTTTTAATCCTAAAATTTTCCTCTGCTAAATTTTCAATCCTAAAATTCTTTCTCTACTAGATTTTCAACCCTAAAATTTTCCTCTACTAAACTTTCAATCTTAAAATTCTTTCTCTACTAGATTTTCAACCCTAAAATTTTCCTCTACTAAACTTTCAATCTTAAAATTCTTTCTCTACTAGATTTTCAACCCTAAAATTTTCCTCTACTAAACTTTCAATCTTAAAATTCTTTCTCTACTAGATTTTCAACCCTAAAATTTTCCTCTGCTAAATTTTCAATCCTAAAATTCTTTCTCTACTAGATTTTCAACCCTAAAACTTTCCTCTGCTAAATTTTCAATTCTAAAACCTCTCCTCTACAAAATTTTCAATCCTAAAAATTTTCAATCCCAAAATTTTCCCTCTACCAAACCTTCAATCCCAAAATCTCAATCACCTTGTTGAACAGCGCGCAGGAGCTCAAGCAGGAACTTAGCATCATCCTCAGGAGAGTAAGTCGACGTCGCCACGTTGGTCGACCTCGGGCTCGGATTATTCAACAACCCCAATTTACTCGTGGATGTCGAAATCGGCGTAGTCGCCGACTTCTCGTTCTTCGCGATCGTTTTAGGTGTATTAACACGAATCTTCGAAATATCCACAGATTTTACAGTCGTACTACCAGGACTACCAACAGTTGTCTCTGATTTCACCGGAATTTGAATTGGTTTCGGCGTAATGTTGACAGATTTCTGCGTGGTTTTCACCGTTTTAGCTTTGACAGGCTTCGGAGTAGTCGACGGTCCGAACAGAGTTTGCCACAGAAGTCCGGCAAAGCCTAATGGTGCTTGAGTGGTGGTTCTAGGTCGCGAAGTAGTAGCTGGTCTAGCAGCGACAGTTACAGGAGCCTTGGTAGTACTTATCAGGGTTGTTCTCTCCGTGGTAGACGCAGAAGCTGTGCTTATTTCCACGTCTCTCTTCGTCGTGGTGGTTGTAACTGGTTTCCAGGTCACTTGCTCAGGTGTCGAACTGCTTATTAATGATTTTTGACTGGTGGTCGGCTGCTCTCCTGACTTCCACGTGGGCACAGACGCGGTCGACGATGGAGATAAATCGATCACTATAGGCTCCGAAGGAGATCTCGTCGAGGGTTCGAAGATCGAATTCGGAGATTCGTTCTGGACATTGATGGCTTTTGGCGATCGAGTTGGTCCCGGATTGCTCAGTGCTAATGACAAGATCTGGAACAAAAAAACACGAAAAAATAACAATTAAAAGGAATCACATCAAATTTAAGTACACACAAAACCTCTTAAAAATAGATGCAATTAACGATACAACGAATATTATAAATTGCTTTCACATTACTTGCACGTAAAGTCCACTCTTATCTAATAAAACTTTAATTCAAGTTCCTCGTAAAAATACTTCTTATCGAGACACCCTGTATATACATAAAATATAAAAAGCTCGATACTCGTAAATACGCGCGGCGTTTTATCCGCATTGATTGAATCTCAAACGCACTATTGAGATTAGCATGCCAAAGTGAATGCCACTGGGAAAAAAGCTCGCGCGTTAACATTAATCAAGCCTGAAAAACTAAATTGCTTCTGTAAAACATTCTCTCTCTCTCTCCTCTGTTCACTCTATCAATTTACAGAAATCCTCTGTTATTAAATACGATCCTATTACGCTAAATCCTTCCTAACGAACGAAATATCATCTCGCCAACAATTATCTACTTTTTCGTTTGTTTCAGGAAGACGATCAACTTCCCTCGATATCGAACGTTACCTCACACGACCTAACGCGTGAAACGCGTTTAATCCTATTACAGTAATGCCCGTAGATTTACGCGGATCAGAGCTACCCGTCTACGATGGAGCGTTATCGAGAGATGACATATCGGAGAGAACTGTTGCGCGGAATAGAGAAGGCCGTTGGCAAGGTTGTTCCAGTCCATTCACCGTGACTGGTCGATCATATACGATTGCGATCGTCGTAGATCCGTCATTATGTCTCTCTGAGAAGGGCGTGACTAAAGATAATCTCCGATCTACCGAATTTTTCTTCTCGCGTGACTCGCGTCGCTGCGATTTTATTTATGAAGCCGTGCAGAAACACGAGAAAGGAGTTTAGTCGAGGAGAAGAAAAGAAGAAAAAGAAACGAACGCAGCAGCTTCCAGAGCTCGATCGCATTAGAAACGGAATACAGTTCGTAGCGCGGAGTTGTGCAAAGGAGTGAAAGGATCGTTTTAGCGTTCCACAAGTACACAGAGCTGTTTCTCGGTTTTCACGTCGCAGATCCAACGATAATTGCATCCAGTTTTCGCGTTATTGATTCGATAATAGCCGCGTACTTTTCCCCTGTACTTTGGATTTTTCACAAAAACGACAACATTGTGCGTAATAGCGGGATAAATTATCGAATAAACTGTCTCCATGCAATTTAGACATTTACATATACGCGGAGTCTATCCTGGAGTAGAATATATCGATGAGTTCCTTTCAATTCGCGGTTCTTTTCTTTTTTGTAGATTTTGTTTTTACGTTTCAAGACGAAAGAAACTGGTTCAGATGGAAAACTGCGCGTATTTAAATAGCGCGCATCTTGGTTGATAAAATGCTAATTAAACGAGTGTATGGGGTTTTTCTAGAGGAAAGGTGGAAGAATATATACGTGATAAGACACTTACCTTATTCGCTAGGAGCTGCTCGACTTGCGTAAGCGACTTTTGCGTAGTATCTCGTGAATTACTCTGCAACTGTGCGAATGAAAAAGGTGCATTTGAATGAAACCGGGAGAAATATTGTACGATAAGAGAGTGTGATAAATTTGTACGTAGATTATATCTCTGTAATAATCAATTTGTCAGAAATATCTATCGGAGATTCAATTTTACGTAACATATCTCGCACATCTATCAAAGTAACAATTAGAAAAATATGTATGCAACGTGTTCTCACTTTAGTGACAAACAATCTACTTACCAATGAATTCAGAAAGGCCAAATCGTCGAACGTAGTACCGAAAGCATTTTGTTGTACGTTCAACAAATTCTGTTGCGCGTTGAACGAAGTGGTTTCTGGAGCTAGTGTTGGTTGCGGAGTGGTTGTTGTTTGTTGTACAAGATTTGCTCTTTGTCCAGTTGTTGTAGGTTGTGGAACTGTGGTGGGCGCTGTTGTTGTGGTTGTTGGGGCCATTGTAGTTGTGGTTGTTGTTCTTGGTGCTATTGTTGTGGTTGTAGTTGGTGCCATTGTTGTGGTCGTAGAGGTAGTTGTAGTAGTGGGTGCTGAAGTTGTTGGTGGAGGTGCAGCAGTTGTAGTTGTTGGTGGACGAGGCGGAATGGTTCCCACATTTCCCCTTGGAACACCAATCGCGCTGGAAAATGGAGTGAAAACTTCGACGAACGGGTTGATCGGTCGTGTCAAGATTGGGCCTGACGAATCGTCCTGAAAAACGGAAACATTTATTCAATTTTAGTGCTAATAATGTATTTATTTTACAGCAATCATTGAATATAGTGAAATTAATATATTTTTTACTTATTAAAACATTGTAGGAAGCTAGGAAAAAATTTGAGGATCAAGCGGGAATCGAACCCGCGACCATAGGTTTGGCAAGCTGGGACTCTATGCGCGTAGCCAAATCACCCTTGTATTTTCTTACTGTTATTGCTCCTTTTGAAGAGTGTAGAGGATACATTATTAATTTTTTTATATAAAGTAGATCAATCTTTTCAGTTACAACATGTGATTCCCTTTTTGCAGAATTACCATGTATTTCCACTATTTTTTAATATATATTACAGAATATATATGGAACAGAGAATAATGCAAATCAGAGTGTCGATAAGAAAGAATGATAAAATAGTTTAATAATAGAGTAAAAGTTATGTTTTGGTGGTTTTTTTAAAAGAATGATACACATGTTGTTTACACATAAGTGAAAGTATGGTTACACATAAAGTGAAATTAATAAAAATTTCAGCATTATAGTAAGGATGGGGTGAGAGAAGCTTTTTAAGCTCTACAGCTAATTTCGAACAGCAGTGATTTAAGGGATAGAGTCCAGTGAATACAGACCAGCGTGTTCGATGCCACTGAAGCTGTTATTACCGGCGAGGAGGTAGTAATGCCGAAGATTTGGTCCAAAGGATCCCTCCATGGGAAACCAGGCGGAGCTGTGACTTGACCTCCTGACTGACTGTTCAAGAGATTTTCAAACGATGGTACGGTCGGTGATAGACCCTCGTTTGCAGCGCTCTAAATCAAACATTTCATCCAACATTTGCATATTTCGAAAATTTCGAAAAGTTGTAATTCACGAACTAAATTTAAGAATTATATTTCATATCGAAAAAAATTTCCCTCGAAGAATACTTTATCTACAAAATGTTTAAAAATTGCTCAGTTAAAATTCATTGTTTCTGAAATATCTAATAATACTCAATCTTACAAAATTTCTTCAATTCTCAAAAAATTACCCAAAATTGAATCCAGCAATGGTATATCTAAAATTTCATACTGAAAAGGCAATCTTCTTCTAATTACCACAAAGTTCTGCATCGAAACTCAAAGTATAGCGAGAAAACTTAAAAAAAAAAAAAAAAAGAAAGAAAAGTAGAAAGAAAAATGTGTACAACTTGTTGCACTTCGTTTAACTTACAGCTACTGAATTTATATTCACACTGAGAACGCGCGGGTTAGCGGTGGAAGCTCCATCAGTCCAATAATTGACGAACTTGTCCTGAAACATTCGACGTTGCTCTTTTTTTTTCCCCCCTTGCAGAGATATGTTGCAGCGCTGAAAGAATCAGCCGCGGCGTCGTTGTAAATCATGTTCTGTCTCTCTTGCTTTCTTACCTGTCCGATGTACACGGAGCTGCGTTGACCTCCGGCCTCTTTCGTCCTGGTGGCCTCGTCCCTCTCTCGATCTTGGACGATACGACCGCCCTGCGAAACGGTCGGCGGTCGACCGGTACTTACTATCGGCGTCACCGACGCTGTCCCCATTTGCGTATTCTGCATGGCATTGCTCTAAACAATGCGAAATTGTACGGGGTTTTTTTAAACGGCCTTGTAAGTGGAGTTACATCTTAACGACGATACGTAAGATCGTCCAACGGTGAAAGTTTAATCGGTCGTTTTGATGTACATATTTTGCGAAAGTAGAAGAAGCGGAGTAACGAGCTTTTCTTCAGCGAGTCTCTCTTTGAATATTCTTTTATTTCTTAGGGAAGAATTGTCGATGTATTAGGTTGGTGCAAATGAATTTGGATTTTTCTACAGGTGAAATTGGCGGGTTGATGTCAGAAAATTTTATGACTTTTATAAATTTCATAAATTTTCCTCTATTAAACTCTCAATCCTAAAATTGTCCTCTACTAAACTCTCAATTCTAAAATTGTCCTCTACTAAACTCTCAATTCTAAAATTGTCCTCTACTAAACTCTCAATTCTAAAATTGTCCTCTACTAAACTCTCAATTCTAAAATTGTCCTCTACTAAACTCTCAATTCTAAAATTGTCCTCTACTAAACTCTCAATTCTAAAATTGTCCTCTACTAAACTCTCAATTCTAAAATTGTCCTCTACTAAACTCTCAATCCTAAAATTGTCCTCTACGAAACTTTCAATCCTAAAATTGTCCTCTACTAAACTTTCAATCCTAAAATTGTCCTCTGCTAAACTTTCAATCCTAAAATTTTCCTCTACTAAACTTTCAATCCTAAAATTGTCCTCTACTAAACTTTCAATCCTAAAATTGTCCTCTACTAAACTCTCAATCCTAAAATTGTCCTCTACTAAACTTTCAATCCTAAAATTGTCCTCTACTAAACTTTCAATCCTAAAATTGTCCTCTACTAAACTTTCAATCCTAAAATTGTCCTCTACTAAACTTTCAATCCTAAAATTGTCCTCTACTAAACTTTCAATCCTAAAATTGTCCTCTACTAAACTTTCAATCCTAAAATTGTCCTCTACTAAACTTTCAATCCTAAAATTGTCCTCTACTAAACTTTCAATCCTAAAATTGTCCTCTACTATTTAAAATATTTCCTCTACTAAATTTTAAATTTCATAAATTTTATAAATTTTTATACACAATAGTCAAGAAGAAGGAATTTGCTGTGGTACACGTGTATTGAATAAGAAAAAAATTTATAACACAATTGGATGGACATTGTTGTCTGACGTGATGAATAATCAGGATATTCGCGTAATTTTTTTGTAAAAGTTTAATCCTGGAAAAATTGCGGTGAATACTGCTGAAAATATAAATTTAGCATTTGAAGAAGATTATGTAAATGTTGGGACACTTCAACGTTGGCGTGCAAAATTCAAGATTGATGACTTTCAATGAAAATGAGCTAACTAAGAGGAATGATGATAACATTTAAAGAAAAATTATTGAAAATAATCCACGATAAAGAATATTAAATTTTTATACACTAAACCATTTTTTTAATAAATAAATTATTCCCAAATGAAGACACTGTATAAGTAGCATTGAAAGAATTTTTAAATTCAAAGACTAACGATTTTTATAAATATGAAATAACGAAGTTAATTAATCGTTGAGAAAAGTGTATAAAATCGTGTGGAAATTATTTTTTTGAAGAAAAACAATATACCTAAAATTTCATTAAAAAAAGAAGACGTTTCACGTGCACCAACCTAATAATTCCATTTTTTTTTTTTTAAGTGACGAACAATCGATTAATATTTCACCATACTCGATGGGCCACTCTAAATCGATCGTTGAGCATTGATGATGAATGATAATGAAAAATTTCTCGAATCCTTTACCGAAGAGTTTATCGAATACCGTTTATTCCTCTCTGTTTCATTTTCATTATTTTTTATTTCCTCTGTTTTTCATTTTCCTCTTTAATATACGCTCGACGTATGTACTTCAAATATAAAATTGAAATCTGAAGTATTGAAAAATATTCTATAGTGGCAAAGTAATGATACAAAATGTACCTTAAATTTGATTAAAGATTTAGTGCAATTCAAAAAGTGCGCGGTGCATGAAAATAACAAAAACATGCGAAAAACATACAACAATTATTTACAAATTTACAGTGAAATTTCTATGTACATCTCTCCGATAAAAAAAAATTAAAATGTTTCATCTCGAGAAAATACGCTGCAGTTGGCATTTGATAAATTCTTTTTCTTCCACGAAGACGCGATAAGAAAAAAGAAATTGTACAGTAAGAAAATAATCTGTATAGTACCATTAATCAACAAGAAATTGGAAAATTAGTCTACTACCAAACAGTCTACTTCAACAAAACCAAAGCGTTAAACAGGAAGCAAATACAATGTGTCATTGAGAGCATAAAAATTATTAAAGCAACGATCTAAATAAATATCTACATATATACTAATGAAATGAATAACTAAAATAAATATCATTAAAAAAATGAAAAAGAAAATTAATTACATTTGTAAATTGTAACTATAAATCCATTTGACAACAGAACATAAATACTCGTTAATTTTGTAACTGTAGATTATGCGTTACGATGTGAATATTAAATAATAATAAATATTACAAGATTAGTGTACAATGATAATGTCTCCCATATTTTTACTAATAAATATTATCTACAAAGTTACGTTCAATAATTTAATACAATATTTATCTACACCTAAAATTTGAGAAGTTCCAGAAATTCGAGATATTCCAGAAATTTGAGAAGTTCCAGAAACTTGAGAAATTCCAGAAACTTAAGAAATTTGAGATATTTCGGAAATTTGAGAAATTCCAGACACTTAAGAAATTTGAGAAATTCCAAAAATTTGAGAAACTTGAGAAATTTCAAGAAAAGAACTGCAGCAAAAATCATACAAACCTCAATCTAAATAACTTCCCCAAACTATATACACTACTTTCTAAAACAAATAAAAAAAAAAAAAAAAAAACAACTAAAACTTATCGAATGTCCCAATAGCAAAGTATCCTACAAATGACGAGCATTTACATCCCAAAACAGAAGAACATAAAATCCTTCATCCTGCCGCAACATTTTATGCATCAATGACACAATAATCATCCTCTAAGAACAGCCAGAAAATAAAAAGAACAAGTAACAAGTGAATTGATAGAACAGACACGACGACCCGTTCTCTATCGAATCGATCTCTCGCGCGTACGCAACGTCTAACGCGATCGATGATGATGATCGACAGGTGGAATAAGAGATACCATTTCGTTGGTGCTCGGGACGCTAGCAGGGGTACCAAGTGGCCCCGTGTTATCGGGTCCACCTCCATTAGGGCCGACGATCGCGTTACCAGTAAGGCCAAGATCAACGGTGCTGGGACTTTGGACGTTTCTCATCGGTTCAGCGACGGGTCTACCATTATTACTGTATACCGGGCCTTGATACTGATTGTAAGTGCCTTGGTTAGCCTGGTTATAATACGGTCTGGGTGGTGGCCTGTTAGTGGTAGTGGAAGTGCTAAGTGAGAACACAACCTCGACCGGGTTCCTAGGTGGATCCGGTATAATCGTTCCATTCGGGAATTTCCGGACCAGCCTGCCATCCGGGAAGATACCGAATATCACGTACGGGCTGTTCACGTTCCTAGCGTCGATCAGGTTGTCCTCTGGTCGCTTCCGAACGATAGTTTTGTTCGGATATATTCCGTATACCAGGTAGTCTCGTAGAGGAGCTCTGGTGGTAGAGCTCAAGCTGAAGCGTGGAGCAGGTGTCAGTCTACTGGTACCGAAACGACCTACGTAAGGCGTCGTAGTTGTCTGAATAGTAGACGGTCTAGTTGGCACGGTTGTTCCACTTGTAGTTTGCGTGGACACAGTTGTAGTTTCGGTAGTGTCGTTCATCGTAGCCTGTCCAGTAGTCGTCGACACTGTGCTCGTGCTCTCCGTAGTCGTCTCGGTGGACACGAGATTATCAGCTATATCGTCGCTGGTGACAGGTATCGGAACAGTTGTTTCCGTCACAGGTGTAACAGTGACGACGTCCGATCTCGCCGACAGTGTTGGCGTCTGTGGTGTCGACGTAACTCCGTCAGGAACGCGTCCTATAGCAGTCGTCGTCGTCTCAGTCGTTGTCGTGGTCGTTGCTGTCGTCGTCTCGACCGAAGATGAAGTGGTTGTGACGAGGGAAGAGTCGGGAGGCGATGAAGTGGAGGATTGTCGGGACGATGACGGGTTGTTGGTCGTGGAGGTGTCTGTGATCATGGGTGTAGTGATCTCGGTCGTTTGGCCGTTTCCTGAACCTGCCGTCCCTTGGGCGGTTGACGATGACGTATCCTGGAAACGGGCAATCATTGGAGTATCGTTCTCGAGGTTCGGGCTTGTTTGGGGGAGAGTTGTCGTTTCTCTGGGCGGATTAGTACTGGTTTCCACGACAGGCTCTGTGGTCGTCGTTAGCGGGGACTGGTTAGTAGTGGACCCAGTGACATCCAGCGACGTAATGGTTGTAATTGACGGTGTGACGGTTGTGGTAGCTTGAAGGATTTCGTTACCAACGGTTTCTGTGGTCAGGAGTGCTAATTGTGTCGTGGACTCCGTTGTTTGGTTAGTATCCACGTTAACATTCGCTCGGTCAACCAGGTTCACGGGTGACGACGTGGTGCTTTGTTCGGTGTTCGTTTCGAGGGATGCCGATGTCGTGGTGGAGATTGTATTTACAGAGGAAGATGTGGTTGGATTAGTGCTGGTGTCGGTCACAAGCTGTGCTGTTACAGTTGTGGGATTGGTTAATAACACAGTGGTTCCAGCGGATTCGGTGACACTTTCTGTGGTTGATTCAGAAGCTGTATCAGGCTTTGTCGTTGTGATCGTGTTAGATTGGGACAATTCGAACGTGTTAGTGGTTAGCTCGAAATTCACGGCTGGTGTCGTTTCCGAGCTTTGTGTGACGATGGTTGTCTGTGACTGAGTCGTTGTGTCGAGGCTAGTGTCGGTAGTGAACGATGTCCTATCTGATAGGGTGACCTGTGGCCCGATTTCTGTCGTAAACGAGGAAGTTGTCGATTCTACGTTATCAGCGAGGGATCCTAAAGCTAACGACGTGCTTTCAGTGGCCTCCACGCTTTGTATCTCGTTCTCGGACACGTTACTTCCAACAGTTGACGTATCTGTCGAATTGTCCGAAGATACAGCGGTAGTTCGGTCGGTAGAGTCCACCTCGTTCAGCGAAGGATCAACCGAGAGGGTAGAAAACTCTGGCGTAGCTACCGAGGCGGTTGTCGATTCTACGTTTTCCGTGGTTACTCCCGGGTTAACGGACGACGTCTCGGTAGCCTGAGTCGTGCTCAACACATCGTTTTTCGTGAAATTTCCTAATCTAGACGTGAGGTTCGAATTTCGACCGGGTGCAATTTGCTCGGTGCCGTTTATCTCTTCCGAAAGGAGTGTCTTGGCAATGGACATTAACTCTGACAGCAGGGTATCGTTGGTAGAGGCAACTGTCGACGAGGTGGTTACGCTAAAATCGTCTACGGTCGTCGTTTGATCAGTGTTCGATACTGTCTGAGAGTCTTGTGTGCTTGTTTCTGTTGCTGGTGTTGTGGTTGTGAATGCGTTTACATCGTCCTGCGTGTCGGCTTCTCGAGTAGGTGACGCGGTAGTAATTAAACCTACTGCGCTCTCCGTAGTCACATCTTCAGTCGTTCTCGACTGATCCGTAACGACGGACGACAAAGTGGTCGTAGTTCCCGAATCTCCTCGATCGGTCGTCGTCCCCTCCCTCAACTGTGACAAAGCCTCCAAGCTATTATTACTACTCGAGTCCGGTATCACGTTCGATATCTCGGTCGCGGAGGACACCGTCGTGGTGGAATCTTGACCGGGTGGTACCGTGGTCGTCGGCAGAGACGCTTGCAATCGGGACAGTATATCTTGCGCGAAGTCTATCAACCTATTGCGAATCGTCGACGTAGGAATCACTGTAGTTGTTTCCACGTCGATCATGTTACTCGACATCGCCTCGGTCGTAGGAACGTTCGTCGAGCTAGCTTCGGTCGTCTGACTGGCAGTCGTGTCGGAGAACGGTATAGTGTTGCTCTCTGGATTCTCGGACGTATCGACAGTTGGAGCGTCGCTGACGCTGGTTGTCGAAGCAGTGGTCGCCTCTGCGGAGCTCTGCGAAGACGTTTCTAACCTCTGTGCCGCTTCTGTACTTTGCGCGTCGTCACTGCTGGTCGTAGACCTTGCAGCCTCGTCGATCTCGGTGCTGCTACCTTCAGTTGTTGAACTGGTAGTCGTAGGAACATCAGTCGAAGAACTTACTACTCTCTGACTCGCAGAACTGTTGTCTATTCGTGAAGAAGTTCGAACGTCTTCCAAGTTACCGATCGTGGTCGCTTCTGTAGCTCTCGCAAGCGACTCTGTGCTGGTCTGTTCCGTCACAGACGTGGAATCGGCGTTGGTGGACGTTTGTTCCGAGGCGGAGGTCGTAACTGTGGAAGGTTGCTCGGTACTGGAGGGCGATTCTGTACTCGTGGAAGGTTGCTCGGTACTGGAGGGCGATTCTGTACTCGTGGAAGGTTGCTCGGTACTGGAGGGCGATTCTGTACTCGTGGAAGGTTGCTCGGTACTGGAGGGCGATTCTGTACTCGTGGAAGGTTGCTCGGTACTGGAGGGCGATTCTGTGCTGGTGGAAGGTTGTTCGGTACTAGAGGACGATTCTGTACTCGTGAGAACCGGCTCGGTGGTCGAGGGGGTTTCAGGGGCTGCTGCGGTTACCGCGGCTAGGGTCGAGTTCTCCGTTTCCTCGGCTAATCTCGGGGTGAGTGTGCTGTCCTGAGTAGTGTTCGCGGTGGTGTCTGGGGTCCGCGGGCCGATGCTCGCTACAGAGGGGCTTGTGGTGTCATTGTTAGGTTTATCGCCGGTGGCATTCGCGACAGCGGCGTTAGAGTCTACCTTGGGGACCACGCCGGCCTGCTGCGAGCTCGAGTTTCCCTGTAACTGTTCGTTCCTGATGCTGGCCGACTCGAGCGCGTGGTAAAGGGTCAAGAATCTCGGCTCGCCAGGGCTCGAGACGTCGATCGGCGGCGCCGAACCGGAGTTCTAGAAACAGAAATTTCGTGCGTGCTGGGTGGTGCTGTACATCGTGAGAACTCGGTGCCGAGTGGAGAGAGTATACAACAGGTGACACATTCTATGAACAGTTTCTACGTTGCATCGAGGTACACTTACCGTTGGTGTATTTACAATTTCGGAGGATCGATCAGGTACGCGATGTTCGTTCTTTAGGAGAGATAGAAAAGAGGTTCGTGACAAAGTTACGGTTTCGATCGATTTTCTGTAGTGATTAATTGATCGCATAATTGAGTGAGCATACACCATCTCTTGGTAGAAGTATGAACTAGGTAAGGAAGAGAAGAAACCGAGGTTGTTTTACTACAACGAGAAACACGGGTATTAGTTAGAGTAGCTGTGAGCGAGAAACGAGTTTCTACGGGCGAAGGATCGCTGGTATAGGCGATAGAGAGGCTGGTTGCCCGCTCACTTTGATTTTTTCCCCTTTTCATCGGGATTTCTCACAGCTGTTGATCCTCTCTCACAGAGGTCTCCAGTTATGTGTCTTTAACTGCGTGCAACTGGAATAACGTGAAATTGGAATTTCGTTCGGAAGGAACTTCAATTTTTATTTGTATCGAAGTAGATCGAATTTGAAAAATTTGAATAAATTCGAGAGCAACAGGTGTTCGATGGTATTTAGAGAGTTTTCGAGACGTTAAGGGGTAATTGAGATTGTGAAAAATGAGGTCTAGGTTGGTCACGAGAAAAAGTAAATTTGTAAGTTTGTCTTTCCCTGTCCTTTTTTTTCTTCTCTCGTATTGAATACGATCCACCCACATGTCCCAGATACCATTGAGATCGTTTTAACGCGCACATGTTACGCGGCATCCAATTTACTTTCACTCGTTACCGCCACGAACACCGTGAAACGTACGAAAATTTACCTATGTAATCGGAATGCGCTCGTATTAGAAAGTAAAGTGTCTCTCGTTACGTCGAATGCAAATAAAACATTGATTCGATTGAAGCATAGTCACGTTATGTTTATTCAATTTACACAATGTTTGTAGACATGAACGAGAAGAATGTGTTCGTTGAAGACGTTGGAATTGAATAAACCGACTTATACTATGTAAATACTATAATAATGGATTTATGCGGGTGTTACAGTCTCGTTTAATTCTGATTTTCGGATACTTGGTAGTCTTGTTTGTTAGACGTATCTCCTAAAATAATGCAACTTAAATATTAAAAATCTTTTCTTTCTTAACAAATCTTTATATTTTCAAATGTTTCACTGCAAAAGTACACTGAAATTGCTATCTACTCTTATCAAAAAATGCATGGAGTGCAAAGGGTTAAGAATGGATTTTAAAATTTTTGTGATTTGACAAGTTTATCAATTCTTAAGAATAGATTTTAAAATTTTTGTGTTTTAAGAAAATTTGTCAATTCTTGAGAATGGAATTGATAAAAGAATGGATTTTAAAATTTTTGTGATTTGACAAATTTATCAATTCTTAAGAATAGATTTTGAAATTTTTGTGTTTTGACAAATTTATCAATTCTTG